TTGTGATGTTGGTGATCTCCCCATATTTGGCAAAAGTTTGTCGCACTTCAATGAACTTGATATCCAAAGGAATGTCCCATATAACAATACTATTTTCCTTTTTTTGGAAAGGAGTTGTAATTTTCATGTGTTCCAGGTGCATATTGTTTGTATCGGGTAAGATAAGATTGCATGCCTCATCTGCAGCCTGTTTGTCACCAAAGATGGTGATGATGTGCTCATTTTCTTTTTTTCTTTCGCTGAAGACTGATATTAGACCTACCAAGGAGTCTAGACTTCTTGTCAAGAAGGAGATCTTTTGGCTGATAGTTCTTCCTGGGATTTCGCTTGCTTTGATTTCTGTTTTGGCTCTTTCTCTACCGAATTTGACTTTCCTATCAAGTGGAGATTTGGAGCGGGGTCTGCTGTACTGGTTGGTTTTGATTCTATGTTTTGGTGTAGTTTGCCATTCCTCTTCTTGCGAAGTAGTGTTTACAAAAGAGTTTCCCATTGTTTTGTCTTCAATTTCCATTTCTGTGTTTGCTTCTTCGAAATATTCTTGCTGGTTGGGACCTGTGTGCTGGTCCCTGGGATTGTTTTCTGTGCTTCTTGGAAGTGACAAAGTAGTTGTTTTGAGTATTTTGATTGAAAGTTCGTTTTCCACTTGTTCGCTCCAGGGAATGTTGTCGGCGGCAGTTTTTGCTCTTTTAGTGTTGTTGGGGTCTTGGGGAGTGTTTTGTCGTGTGGTATTGTGGGTAGTTGATTGTTTTACGGGTTCATTTTTTTTCCTTGCTGTTGCTTTTCCTTTGTTTTTTGTGATTTCCTTCATGTTGTCCGTGTTCATTTCTGTGCATGTATTTTTCGTGTAACTCTTTGTCAAAAGATTTTCGTTGTAGTTGGATCGCCCCAAGGTGTATTGTTTTCTGGGTTCTCGATGAGAACCCAGCAAACGGAGTATTAACTTCAAATTTCTCTCCTATGCTAAACCTAGAAATGCCAAGTCCTAATCTAGCTTCTACTCCGTTAGATTTATAACTTGCAATGTTAGCACTTGCTCTTGATATACTATATCCTGCATTTATCAACATTCTCCTGCCGAAACGGTTCCAATTTAAGATCTCCATCACTTCTGCTGTCTCTAATAAGAGTAAATTTGATATCTCCTGACAAAGCATTATCACCTAGACCGACACCACCAGAAAAAGTACCATTTCCTATTTTTTTTGACTGTCATCCTTATAAATTGAAAATTCAGGATTTCTGCAATCACATATTGTTTTTGAGCAAGAACATCCACGTGAGGTATTTTTGCAACAATAAATTTCAGGAAAAAATTTTTGGTAAATCAACTTTCTTGATAATTTTCTATTTCTCTTACTTCCATCATTTGATCCTTTTTATTTTCGATAGTATATTTATTGTTTGTCATAATTTTAAATATTTTAATATTTTATATAAGCAATTCTCTATTTAGAAATTAGACGAATGGTAGGAACCGAGGAAAGGAGATGTATCAAATTTACAATGTTTACAATGTACTGTATGTAAACAAAAGGAAAAAATAAACGTGAAACTTTCATTTTATAAGGTATTTGGGCAAAAAGAAATATTTCCCACATTAAACTAATTTGGTAGATTGAAGGTTAAAATACAATATAGGCACTACAGTAACAATAGGAAACAATAGGTGTTACTTATACTGCATTTTAACCTGCTATCAACTAGACTGTTTTTGCTGAAGAGCTATCAGAACAGAAGATACGAAGTTTTTCATCCTATAAAACGTTGGAAGAATTAAAAGAAGTGCTCCGAAGTACAAGGTCAATTGAGAAGCGATTGCTTTATTTTTTTATGGCTTTTTTCCGAGACGGGCCGTCCCGCAATTTCTGAGCTCTGCTCTGGCAAAGTAATCGAAAATAGATTACAGTATATTCATTCATTATTTTTTGTTGTATAGTTTTTTGAAGAAGTCGATGAAGATGACGATACATTCAAGCACTGTGTAGCAGACATAATACTACGTAATATTAACGAATATCGAGACGATGACGGATCCTAACGAAGCAACTCACTGTGAATTTATTTCATCCATTCTGCAACAGTACGGCCCTCATCGCTTACCATTGTTAGAAAACATACCAAGGAGGAAAAAAATCTATATTTCATTGAAGAAAGATATCTCTAATGAAGAAACATCTGGGCGAGTTGATTACGCAATCAAGGGAAAGGAAATCTCGTGTACGTATTGTAGAAGGAAAACCTCGTAACATCAAAATCGGATATTCACAAGTATAGCCGTATATTTCACATAATGATAACCAATCATTCTAAATTGCCTCGTGTTTATTATTGGCCTTTGACATTAACTAATTTATATACGGTTATTCAACTCGAAATTACATATCACACGAATAAGAAAAAAGGACAGCTGAACAAGTTTTTGGGAATGTCGACTACGACCATCTCTATGGAATTAGCATTTTCTTGTTTTCATTACTGATGGTCTTTATTGCACCAGTGAGAGCGAATATCAAATTGATCTTTCGAAGACAGTGATCAAAGAAAATCTCGATACACTACGAAGTAATGCAAAAAGGATAATTGGGATCATTGTTGGGTTGTTAAAGGATCGGGTAACGGCCGATAACTCTCAGCTAATAAGAGGGCAAGGGTAAAAAAATTTACCAAAAGTAATGGGTAGATAGTTTCCCACCTCGTACTTTTTTTTTATTGTATTAATAAAGCCAAACCTTATGAGGTTACAAACTCACGAGTCCAGATAACCAAACCTAAAATGAGGCTCTTTTTCCAGACGTGTAAATTCAGATTAAGTTATAAGGGCGCTTTGCATGCATAACTCGTGAAAGTGACATTCATGTCGATTAAATAATTGAAGAGTATTTAATGGGTAGCATAACCATGTTCACAACTTGGTGGATCTCCCCCCCAAAAATGGAATATACTATTAAGTTTTTTTCATAAGCTCAAGTCAAAACCAGTCCAAGTCTCTTATTCTCATGTTACAATTGATGGAAATGTAGAAAAAGCCTCTTTTGCGTGAGAATTAAAATCACTCCCGAACAGAATGCCCAAGACCAAGATTTAATTTTATGTATAATGGAGTCTCGCTATATACAGTATACACAACATGCGTGAAAGATATCGAACGGTTGAGTTAGAAAACTATAATGATTTCTCCCAATTTGAAACAAACTACGCCATGAGTAAAGGCTCTAGAGTATATCGTTCAAATAAGAGAATTAGAGAGGAACGAAGAAAAATTTCACCTTATATGACTTAAACTCTAGGTTATACTCATTAACATCAAAATTTTATTACATTTGTGTTAGTAATAGGAATCAATTTTGTAAGGCGTTTTATGAACTTTCTGGAAAAACTTATTGCTGGATCTGGATCTGGATTTTTCCAAAAATTTTTGAAATCTCTTTAAATTATTAATTCTAATCCTTAACGAGCGGGTGAAATCCTCATATGATAAAACATCTAAGCTACCACGTACAGCTCCCGCATAGAAGCGCTGGAAGAGGTAATCCACCACAAGGAAGGGCCGTTTAACAAAGTTCAGTGCCAATGAAAATTATTAGATGGAAATCTATGTGTTGATATTCTTTCGCTGTACACACTTGTGGGGACAGATCAGGCCTGATCACTCTTCCATGAAAAGGCAACATTGTTTTTCCGAATGATTTGTCGGTTTTTCATAATGTATTAACGTGACATAATGAAATGATATTAGTAATGTAACATATGTAATAATAGTAGTATTATTTTAATAAAGGAATTGCTGTTTAATTTTTTATTTTAAATGTAATTAATCTCATGCTTTTCTACCATTTTAACTACCCTCCACGTTTGCTGGTGGTTGTTGACCATTTGTAGCATCAAAATAAGAGGGTGGATTCATATTTCCCGTATTGGGATCGATCGTATCCTACATACCAGTATTGGTCGTATTTCCCACATTACGCAGCTTACGAGCATGCTCATTTGTATAATGTTTCGTGAAAGCGTAATGATCAGAGAAAGTTGCGTCACATAGAGGGCAATCAATTTGCAATTCTTCATTCTCTGATGATGTTTCGGAAGATTCCTGTGATCTAAAAACGTGAGTGGTAAAATATTGCTACATAGAAGTAATGGCGATGACGCACCTGTGAAATTGCTTTCTCAATCATCCGCACTTCCAATGTGAACCTCGGCAAAACATCACCACCCTCTAAATCTTCCCATACGCGCTCACGACGATAGACATTGCC